TTTATATCTATACTATATTATAAAGCATTGGGAAAAATTCAAAAAAACCCAATGGATTTTACTATTTGGAACGATTAAGTTCATGGACAATTTTTTGAAACAAATAAATCATTGGACATTCTAGAATATGTTAAATAAATCATTGGACTTTACAAAATCTGTTAAATAGATCCTCATTCCTTAAAATCTTAATATGTAACCTGAATAGAAGGTAACTTAAATTAAAAATAAATCTTAAAATTTGACTACTCATCTCCCCCTCTCATGACCACCGCTCCCTCCCGTCTCCTTCTCCCTCTCGCACACCATCATCTCCTTCTCCCTCACACACCGTCTCCCTCGCCCCCATCGCCGCCGCACCCTCGTTGCTGCACCACCCCCGTCGCCCCTGTCTCCGCCGTACCACCTTGCCGCCGCCTCTGTCGCTCGTCTAATCAGGTTTGCTCCAATGTGATCAATGTGATATCATGCAACTACGGTGTGATAATGGAACACGTATACATATTGTGTCTAATTCTTGTGTTCCATGAATATTGACAGAAGATTTAAGGATGGTTGTGATTTACTTGAAAGAAACWTTTAACAGGGARTCARCCCTACTGCCACTCGAACACTTGAAAGTCTATTGTATGGATAGTATATTGTATGTATATGAACATCTGCTTGGAGAAAGTTTTTTTCATGGACTAGTCAAGCGATGGCCGTCTAAGTAATTACTTTCTGGTGTATATATATTAAACACGTCTAAGGGGTCGTTTACCAAACACTTACCCGTAAGCACTTATTGGTAACATTCAATGCTATTATTTACCTACCGGGTAAGATTTTAGTTAATAAAAACGGCTTTCTATGCAACAATTTACCTGGTAAGAGCTGACCGTGGTAAGAGTCATTGCCTTCACTTAACTCTCAGTCTTTGCCTCGTTCTTACCGGGTAAGATTTTTGGTCCTTACCATATTCATCCGGTAAGATAATATAACTTGGTAAGAGCTTACCCAATTAAGTATTTGGTAAACAACCCTTAAGTAATGTATTTTTAAGAGAAAATACATTAATCCGAATAAGATCTACGTATTTGGTTCTAATAGTAATTACTTTCTGGTGTATATATATTATAACGAAGATAAACGTATGAAATAATTGAATAAGTCTGCTAATCATACAGCCATCAGATTACAATCCAACCCGAAATGAAATAGGTAATTTTGACTCCGGAAACCCCATCAAGTAGCAACATCCAGCCTCAGTTGACATAAATTGTTGTCAATTTCTTCGAATTCACTTCTTGGATGTTTTGAGAATAGGAAACTTGTGCTTTATGCCTGTATTGTTCAGACTTGTGGGTTTCTGTTGGCCACCTTTTAACAAGGTTTCCCAAGATTTTAACAAGCTCTTTGTCAAGAGCAAAAGAAACAGAAAAGGAAGAAGAGGCACATGCTTCAAAAGCTTTCTTGTTAGGTCTTATTAATCACTTTTGTCAATGAACATTTATTTTTATCATTCTATTTTGATTTCCAAATGTAACTCTATAATATATTTTCTTTTTAGTGTGTCATCTTTCAGTGCTAACTAAAATGTGTATTATGCCCATTAGTTTGGCTAATTGTAAGAAAAACCATGACAATGCCAAGTATACTTGAGTAGAGCTGTTAGAAATCTGTGCAATAGCATAGACACAACTTTTTAATTGCAACTGGTGTATGTTGATTCATGTTTGTTGATGCAAGAAGAAAACCCATAATCACAATTTTAGAGGAGATAAGATTATTTGTTATGAAGAGACATTACAGAATGCTAAGCAAAGCACAAGAATGGGAATCAGTTGTTTGTCCGGCCATAAGAAAAAAAGTTAAAGAAATGGGGAGAAAATCACAGGTGTGTTTATCTATGATGGTAATTTTATTATGTATGCTTGTCTATGATGGTAATATGATCTTGTATGCTAATGTAATCTTTTTCATATGTAGATATTGGTATGTTATTCCTAGTGGTGGGAATGTATTTGAAACACGAAATGGTTTTGAAGCAATGGTGGTAGACTTAGATGCTAGAAAATGTAGTTGTAGATTGTGGGACATATCAGACATTCCTTGTGTGCATTCCATGGCTCTCATACACTTTATCAATAAGGATCCAGAGGATTATGTTAGTAAATGGTTTACTAAGGATCTCTTCAAAATGGTCTATGAGAAAACTATAAGACCATTGAATGGAAGCAACATGTGGACTCCAACACCTTACACCAAACCAAACCCACCTAAGGAAAGAAGAATGCCCGGTAGACCATCCATCAAAAGAAAAAGATCAGAATCTAAGAGCCAAAGTACAAGGGTGACTCAATCTGGGAAGGCAATGACATGTAGCAATTGCTTGGAAACGAGACATAGTGCTAGGACTTGTAAGAATGAAAAGAAGAACCCACCACCTAAACTTGTTAAGCCAAAAGGTAGACCAAGAGTCAACATTCCAAAATCGACTACAACAAGAAGAGCCAATAGAGGTGGAAAAGGCAATAGAGGTGGGAGGATACCATCATATGTAGGGGTCTCTTATAATCCAGTCACGGGAGAAGCAATGATTGGGGTAAGCCATTATTTGTTTTTCAGATTCAAGTAACATTTTTATGACTATTGCTTACACTTTATTTTCATCATTAAAGACATCCTCAGGTGTGCCACAACCAGCATGGCCCGAAGGCATCCTACCGTATTCAATTTCAAGAGAGGTTGTTGTTAACGACGAAGACCGTGATGAAGGTGATACTACTGTTGGTGATGAAGAACATCATGAAAGTGATGATGTTGTTAGACGTCAAGAAGGGTTACAAGAAAGTCAAATGACTATATCTCCACCGGAATTTAATGATGCAAATGAAGAATAGTTAATACCATGACCTTAACATAGATTAGACATTACTTTGGTATATTTTAGCGCAATTTTTGGTATATTTTGGCGTAACTTTTGGTATATTTGGCTCAATTGTTGATATTTTTTGGCACAACTTTTGGTATATTTGGCACAATTGTTAGTATTCTCTTTGCGCAACTTTTGTTACATATTTTGGTTCAACTTTTGGTATATATTTTGGTTTAACTTTTGATAAAATTATGCCCAAAATTTGTATGCAGATTATTATGCTTTGGATACAACTTTTGTATATTTTGCGAATAGTAATGAGAATAATATATTTGTTTTTTTAATAAATATAAGTATTTTTTTCGTTCAAAAAATATTTATGGACTTGATTGTTCAAAATATGAAAGTCCATTGGTTTTTTCGGATCTTTTCCACTAACAAAATGTATTTAACAGATTTTAGAAAGTCTAAGGACTTATTTAACATGTTGTTGTAAAGTCCAATGACTTATTTAACAGATTCTAGAATGTCCAAGGATTTATATGTTCAAAAAAATTGTCCAAGAACTTAATCGTTCCAAATAGTAAAGTCCATTAGGTTTTTTGGACTTTTTCCTAAAGCATTTGACAAAGACTTTTAAAAACCAATTTTTATGCGTAAAATACTGTTTGTTAATGATATTACTTAAAACTCAATATTGCAAGTAGATTGTGCGTAAGTACAACTTATTAAAGCTCCATATCTGAATTCGTGTAACTAACTGTAGATAAACATAATCAAATACATGATAAACATCTCATTTTAAATATAAAAAATCTAAAATATAATTAGGATAATCATTGAGTTATAACAAAATACTTAATTATTATCTTTATAAAATGCTATGTTATTAAACCAAAAATAAATTATTTCATTATTAAACTTAAATTAAATTATAATATCAAGAGAATAAAATAGAACATTACAATCGAGATGTGTCTCGCTGCATTGCGTGAGTACCCTTCTAGTTTTGTTAAATATATCCATATTTACTATTTTTTTCCTCATACACATCAATACAAAGACTTATCTTTTGCATTTCTAATGCATTATTTGATATGATTTTGACATAAAAGGAGGTGCATATAACATTACCCTTGTAAATTAGGGGTGTGAAAAACCGAACGGTCCGAAATCTGACTGAAAGGTGTTTGTGCAAAACTTGAATGTCCCCCCTAACTTGAAAATTCGAAATCCAACTTATGAAGGATATATGTGAACGAGTCGGGTTTACTTTATAGCCACCCAACCTGTCCGAAAATCCAAAATATATATTTAACTATTATATAATTACATTTATTTATCTAAATCCTAATCGGTAGTACTATCTTATAATTTCTACACCTGCTATCAATCTCATCAATTCATCTCAATCGATTGAATATATAAATTTTGTATTACAACTATATCCAAACCCGATCGACTTTAATCCGAAACCCGATCAACCTGAATCTAAAGCAATCCAAAATCCGATGATTGATTTCCATCTCCGAAATCCGATTGGATTTTTGATTTACCCACGAACCCGACCGACCCGTGATGCACACCCATATATGAAAGTAGGGATGGTGATTTGTCCCGACCCGGTGGGGAATCCGGTTCACCCGACCTGAACGGGGATTCCCCGCTAAGACGGGTCCCGGGGCCGGGGATCCCCGGTAGACTCAAACCGGGGCCAGGATCGGGGACGGGGATGTTATTCAAACCGGGGCCGGGGAAGGGGATCCTCGGTAGAATCAAACTAAAGGATACTATTTATGGGTTTTGACCGGGGATTGCTAGAGATTTGACCGGGGACGAGATGATAATCCCCGTACCCACCGGGGGCCGGGGCCGGAGGACGGTACTACAAACCGGGGCCAGGGTCAGGGATTACAAAACCCGCCATATCCCCGCCCCCTTGCCATGGCTATATGAAACGGATACAAATACATAATATTTTCTGAATTAAAAGTTTTTGTTCAAGGAAAAAAGAGAAGAAAAACGAATAGAACCAAGAAATGGCTATGTAAGAGACGAATTGGGTGCACCCACAACGGGCCATGGTTATGTAGCCTTGCTGTAGGCGTAATTTATTAAATACAAAACTGATCTCCGACACTGTTAACAACACAGAGGGGGATCGACCAGCAGCTTCGATTCTAATTCTCTTTCAAATGACACCTGATCTATGAACGCATAAAGCTACTGCTCTCAACCGATCGATCTCACCAATTATCCAAGTTAGGGCGCCCAATTCTTAAATCTAAGGTAAACTATCTCAAAACCTAGGTTTATTCCTTTGTTTTCAATATGGGTATCAAATGAATCTGATTGAAGGGATTGATTTCTGTGTTTTTGCGCAATTGATTGATTAACGATACGGAACGAAGATGTTGACGAAATTTGAGACGAAAAGTAATAGAGTGAAAGGGCTGAGTTTCCACAGCAAGAGGCCATGGATCTTGGCTAGTCTTCACAGCGGTGTGATCCAGCTATGGGATTACAGAATGGGAACTCTCATTGATCGATTTGACGAGCATGATGGCCCTGTTCGTGGTGTTCATTTCCACAAATCGCAACCTCTTTTCGTCTCCGGAGGTGTGTAAAAGATCTTAACAAGTTGAAATGCTTGCGATTTCCAGATCTTTTGTGGATTGATCAGGCTGATCTTTTCGTATGTGTAGTAATATACATAGCATTCTCAGGTTTTATGAAGTTGTTTCATTCTGCCTTAACAATAACGACTGGAAATTCGATCTAACGTAGCATAAATACATTCCTTCATTTACTTACCAATTTAGAGACTTCTGTTTTGCTACTGATCTGAACATAGAGAGATATGTGCTGTTGCTATCAGGAAGCTTAAGTTTTAGCCATTTTGATGATTGGAACTTCCCTGCTGTATTCATTCTGGATAGCCTTACTACTTTGTCATGAAGCACATGATATGGAAAACATGGAATTGACTCTAATCAGGACAATTACGTTAGATTTTACATAACACATCCTAGTAAGTCCCCTTGATTATGGAAATTAAATGAGATCCACAATATTTTAAGGGTTTATGCTTATATTTTAAAATTCCGGAAGGCCTTTGCTTCGACGTTATTCCATCCAATCACAAATACATGCATATATGTAATTTAATTATATTGTTAAGTTGTAATTCTTTTAAATGTGCATAGTCTTTGAGGCAATGCCTCTCGCATTAAACATGTTATGCTTCATGCAGGAGACGATTACAAGATCAAAGTATGGAACTATAAATTGCATAGATGTTTATTTACACTTCTTGGGCATCTGGATTACATCCGGACAGTTCAATTCCACCATGAGTACCCGTGGATTGTTAGTGCCAGTGACGATCAAACCATCAGGATATGGAATTGGCAGTCTCGTACTTGTATATCTGTTCTGACAGGACACAATCATTATGTAATGTGTGCTTTGTTCCATCCGAAGGAGGACCTTGTTGTATCAGCATCATTAGATCAAACCGTACGTGTTTGGGATATTGGTGCCCTGAGGAAGAAAACAGTATCTCCTGCTGATGACATTCTTCGCTTGGGTCAGATGAATACAGATTTTTTCGGTGGGGTTGATGCTGTTGTAAAGTATGTTTTGGAGGGCCATGATCGAGGCGTGAATTGGGCTTCATTCCATCCCACTCTCCCTCTTATTGTCTCAGGAGCTGATGATCGCCAAGTGAAGATCTGGCGTATGAACGGTATGCTTTTCAATTTCTAGGCTCCATTGATTTGTGCTGTTTTTGTTCTGTAGATCCCATTCCGGTGGTCATTTTTTTCTTCTTTTTTTGGTACTGATCCATGCTCAAAAGGAGACAGAAAAGGTGTACCTTCAGAGCACTTTACCTTATTACATTATTATAGATTATGGAGAATAATAACAAATAAAGAAGTCCTTCTCTCTCTGCTATTTGGATCTATTGTGATGCAATCATTTATCTTCTTATCGTGGAAAGGCCAAATGTGATTTGTGATAAGCAGTCAAATTGAATGAGCATTGTCAGAGATATAGTTTGTGACTTAATTTTTACTTGTTCTAATTGATGGGTTGGAAATAAATGGAGAGCGGACCTAAAATGGACGTAAAACTCGGAGGGAAATGGACAAAATGAATGGATGCCTAGTTTTTCTATGCTAAGTATATATGGGATGTAAGATTGTCAAGTCACTTTGGGTGATTAAAAAATATTAGAAAAGAAAAGAGGGCCGTTTTGCTGGCTCTTAGTTAGTGGCTATGGTTATTCATGTTCTTAACCGATCTGTATGATAACCAACAAGTCGATAGAGCCATTGTTGTTAAAGGCGCAAGGCGCACTTAGGCGCAAGGGGGTCCTGGGGCGCAGGTGCGAGGCGCAGGCCTCACGAATTTGAGGCACATCGTATAAAAAAATAATATATATATATATATATATACACACACACACACACATAGAGTAATAAACAACTTAAATACCATTATACAAGAAGTAGTAATATCAACTCAAATACCATTATATAAGAAGTAATGATATCAACTCAAATACCATTATATAAAACATGATTCAATTTCAATTTCCAAAAAGTAGTAATATCAAACATATCTCAATAAAGTCTTGACTAATAGGTTGATAATCGGTCCTCCTCCTCCTCCTCATCATCATCAAGTGTGTATTCTCCAACATCCTCATCGGATTTATATTCCCTAATATCTTCTTCTTCAGTGTCGCTCTTCTCTAATAATTCAACGTTATCTTTTTCATCAATGAGTTGATGTCTTGAACTAGAAGTAGCCTTTCCTTTTCCTTCCCCACCCGCTAGCATTCACTTTTTGTTTCGAACATTATAGTTACGCTCATAAGCTTCCGAGGCTCTAGCAACATCACCCCATGTCATTGAGTCATCTTCAAACACATAATCTTCTTCTTCTTCTTCATCCTCGTACATTCTTCCAATAGGCATTCCAGACAAAGGTTGATGAAATTAAAAACTATTAAATTAAAAATATTTGATTGCAAGTAGTAGAAATTTACCGGATGACTTTGTGCCCCTTTGTCATATGCAAATAGGCATTCCAGATATGCCTTATGCATTTCTATATGATGCCAACTGTTCCAAATTTTATTTTGGTCTTCATGATTTGCCACTAACCTTTCAATGCTTTTAAGTAACCCTGACATTACCTCCGCATCATCTTCAATATTGCTATTTGAATAGAATAATTCCGGATTCAAATAATTCCCGGCCGCATGCAATGGTTGATGGAGTTGACACTCCCATCTCTTGTCAATAATGGCAAAGACCTCCTTATACTTGTCCTCTATATCATTAAATGAACGTGCAATTGCTTCTTTTGCCCTATCCATGGCTTCATAAATGTATCTCATGGCCGGCTTCATCTCACCATCAACCAATCGAAGAACTCTTACAAGAGGACCCACCAACTTAAGGATATAGACAATGCTACTCCAAAATGTAGGTATCAGAACGATGCTTGCCACCCTCTTACCAGCTTATTCTTTTGAATACTTACTCTTGAAACCCATCCCTCATTGTGCCACTGCTTCCGTTGCTATATGGAAGCTATCATAATTCAAAGCATTAAATGGCAATCCGGCATCATAAAACCATTTCGCAAGCTCTTTACAAGCTTTGTCCCGGAGCTCTTTTTTGCAAATTTAATTAATGGTTGTCTGCGCTGTCTTTCCTTTTCTATTTTGAACAACTTGTTCTGATGGAGGGGTGAAATACATATCCATGGGGCCTCTAATACCCTTTTGCTTCTTAGATTGTTGTTGGGCTTGTAACTTGCTACTAACGTGTGACGAGATCCACCAACTACTTGAACATCATTGTCCTCGTCATCCCCGTATGTATAGATCTCTTCAAAATCAGGTAACACTTAACTCTCACGTTTACGTTTTTCTTTGTTGTTCATGTACTATCTAATTTCCTCTCGTACATGAGCCAATACTTTTGTACATCCTTTCGTATTTTGATATCCACCTGCAATATGTTGTTTTGCTTGGTATTCCTCTGTTTTGTAACAACGTCACATAAATTGCATTTTTCTGTGCCCGCACGTGTACCTTTTGTGCAATACTTCCAAGCCGGATCTCCGCTACTGCTACTGCTTGATTGTGATTGATTTTGAGAATCCATGACCTAATATTGCTTCTAACCAGAACTCATAACACTTAACATAATTCCCTATTTCAAAAACATATTATATACAAAAATAAAATACAAAAAATTTGGCAGCCAAATAACAGCCTGTGATTTTGTGTTTCTATGCAATGCAAAAAATTTGGCTGTTTCTGTGATTTACAGCCTCGCCTAATCACAAGCACAGCCATATTTGTGTCTGTGTGTTGACTTACAAGAGAAAAAAATGGCAGCCAATGAGCCAAATCACAGCCTGTGATTCTGTGATTAACAACCTTGCCTAAACACAGCCATATGTGTGTGTGTATCGACTTACAAGAGAAAAAAATGGCACGAATGAGCCAAACCACAGCCTGTGATTCTGTGATTAACAGAACAACCTTGCCTAATCAGATCAATATGTGTGTGTGTCTTGACTGTCGACTTACAAGAGAAAAGAATGGCAACCAATGAGCCAATCACAGCCTTAGAAGCTTGGTGCCATATGTGTTTGTGTCGACTTAAAAGAGAAAAAAGGCAGCCTTGGAAGCTTGGTGCCATATGTGTGCGTGCCGACTTACAAGATAAAAAAGAGGCAGCCTTACATATGTGTGTGTGTCGACTTACAAGAGAAAAAAAAAGTCAGCCTTAGAAGCTTGGTACCATATGTGTGTGTGTTGACTTACAAGAGAAAAAAAACGGCAGCCATAGAAATAATAGTATGCATACTTGATACTTGTATGTAGAAACAGGTAACAAGAAGTCCAGAAGAGAGCCCTTAGTGAGGAAGAAGTATAAGCCTCCAAAGCAGCAACCATAAACCTAGATTCCAGAAGAGAGCTGTGGGGAAGAAGTATAAGATTTAAAGCCGTGAGGGAGAGTACAATGTATGGGACGTATCTATGGGAGGTATGTATAGAAGATGACTGATTAGAATTGAATAGAGAATTGAATAGACTTATCTAATAACTCTTTTTTGTAGAAGTCTAGGAGGTTAAAAGACATAACTAAGATTAGGTTTTGACTTGCTTAATAACAATTTTCTGTAGAAGTCTAAGAGACGAGAAAATTACTTAAATTTAGAGCATATCTGTGTAAGGCGCGCCTAATCCCATTTTGCGCCTTGGTGCGCCTCAGTAACTTGCCTTTCTTTGACATGGAAAAAGCCCCGGCTTTTGCGCCTAAGAGCGCCTGATTATGACCAAGTGAATGAGCAAAAAATAGAAAAAAAAAGAACAACAAACCAGGCAATTGTGTCCTTAGAAATTTGTTAATTGAAGAAACTATCCGGATGGGGTAAATTGCTTTGTTCTCTATTTTCTCAGTGGTTTATTATTCTGTCTAGTTATCTCATCCCTTGACAATATGAGCTATTCAACAGTTTTTCTATACGTCCATAGTGTAGCTGCACATTAATTAGAATATGCACATGGTTCATGGAATGTATTCGTATACAATCTGATAAACCCCCAATTCGGTTTACTTACATACACAGGAGCAAGAAGTAGCGCTATCAAATAAGGAAGGGCCATATTGGTATTTTGAGATTATTTATTATTTTAGTTAAGGTGAGTCATAATTGTTAGTGGTGGGGCCAAGGGAATCTTTTCCTTTTTTGGGGAGAGTAGTAGTAGTATAAATAGCTTTTGTTAGTAAGGAAAGGATTATGCTTTTTTTTTCTTGAACTGAAATCGGCGAGCGCCAAATTGGTAGAAATTGGCTTCTCTAATTGCCAGGATCATAATCAATCGTTGAGTGATAATAAAAAACCCTTCGATATACCTTTTGGTATATCAATTGGTATCAGAGCGAGGTTAGGCGTGGCGCGATGACGAAGAGTGTTGTGTCTAGGGTTGATGGAATTGAGGGAATTATGGAAACGTGTAGATTGAAGTATGGTCATTGATAGAAAGCGTTCAAACCATAATGAAGCAGTTGGAATTACTCCTCAAGCTGCAAGCAAAATCGAGTCAGAAGTCGGAACCCTCAGGAGTGGAGGATGATGAGTCCCTATCGAATTGTGGGAAGTCAACAAAACGCGGGGGAGGGCAGAGCGATTCCAACAAATTTATGTTGATCAAGGGATGCAAATTGGAAATCCCTCGTTCGATGGGACGGGTCCAGATGGGTGGATTCTTTGTGCGGACCGCTATTTTGCATTAAATGGACTAACATCAGAGGAACAGATTGAAGTGGCCATAATTTCGTTCGAAGGGGATGCGTTGCGTTGGTTTCAGTGGGAACACAAAAGGCGACCAATCACACGCTGGGAGGAGTTAAAGCATATGATGCTCTGCCAATTTCGTTCCCTCACCGAAGGTACGCTATGTGAACAGTTCTTAGAGCTCAAACAAGAAGGCACCATTGTTGAATACAGGAAATGATTCATCAATTTGTCATCCCCTTGAGGGAATCTTTGAGGAAGTTTTCTTGAGTCAGTTTGTCATCAGAGCCGAAATACGACTATTATCTCCGATAGCTTTAGGAGAGGCGTTTGAATTGGCAGCCACAATCAAAGAGAAGAATCGAATATTGGGCCGTAGTGGGTCTGCTCACTGGGGAACTACAAGAGGACCGTACT